TAAATGTACCCCCCATCTCTTGGGGGAAGCTGAAGTCAAAGATTAAGGGCTAATGATAAATATCATAAAGCCTGCCATTTGAAATAAATAAATATTCCTCCCCTCCGTGAAGCCTGAAGTCAGCTAAAGGGATAATGATAACTACCATAAAGCCTGTCATTTGATATAATTAAATATTCAAAGTTTAATTAAAAAATCAATACCGGTATATTAATGAAGCTTATAACTATGCAATGAACCAATTACCACTTTCAGGAGTTTCATCCGTCAAATGTACTCATAACTTGTTTTCAATAGTACAATTTATTTAGAACATTGAAAAATTCTGTTAATTTTTTTAATATTATCTATTTATAATAACCATAGAACCAACAAATTTTCAGTTGTTTCTCCAATATGGCAGAACTTAGAACTTACTTTGAAATTTGTGCCGCGAAATACAATAAGCTATTCTTGCGAAGTCGCAATTCTTATTGGAATTTTTCGGCCGTGGGGATGGGGGAGGGTGTAAGAGAAGGGGATCATAATGTTCATCCCGAACTAAATTTCAACTCGCTTAATTTTGGCTGTTTAGGTACGAGTACAGAGGATCTATTGTGGCTTTGAACATATTCTGTTTCGATTCCATTCTCAGGAGCAGAAACAGTTCTATCATTTTCGGCGTTTAGCGTACCTTCTACCGATTTTGGAATGTCAATGCGAAGTCTCCGATTAATTGATTCCAAGAGATTAGGGTTGATGCCCTCTCTAGTGAGCATGACACTTGGTAATTTAATTGGTGAAACTGATTGCAATTCTGCCATAATATTTGTTATTAAGTTCACATTCTCTTGATTTCCCTCTTGAGATGTTCGAAGTATTTCCAAAAAGAGCTTTGAAGGTAGCTTTGACCACTGATCTCTTTGATAGAATTCCGGTTCAGATGTGCTATTTTCAAGCGATTCTGTATTGTTCTTTTCAATAGTCTTTGTCTGAGAAATTGGACTGGTGATTTCGTTAAATGTCCCATTAAAGGGCGGAGTTTGCCCATCCGATTTGTCTTGTTGTTTTTCAATTCTTGGGCTGATATTTTTTGCAAATTCTTCCAGTTCACTTAGATTCTTGACAATTGCGTAGAGGATTCGAAATAGATGTGTTCGTGTTGCCTCCTTTCTTCTAGAAATTCGGCATTGAAAATAGTGTATTAGAAACGGATGGGGAACATTGTACAGAAAGTCTGCCAGAGCGTAATATATGTAACCAACTACACGGAATCTTGGATCATGGAAGTCATAGTTTTGCCGAGGATAGTGAAACGGCAATTGTATCGATTTTGTCATCAGAACTTCCTTATGCAACTCAAAAGCCTTTCTATAAGACTCAAAATGGTTTTCTGTTGGAGTCATTGCAACAGCTAAGGCTGCAACCATGGCAGTGATCAGTGTTTCTGCCGATCGGAATAGCGCAAAGTGTAGATTTCTTGCAAGAAATGATATAGTCACTGCAGTTTCTTCTATAATGAGAGGATTTTCGGAGTTCAGGCAGGAGATTAGAGTGTCATGAAGCTCTGTAGAATTATTCATTGACCATTCTTCAAAATCTTGGGCATATCCATCGGTATTTGCCAATTCAGAAAGTTGTCTTAAGACTGATATGTGCTTCTCAGAGTTAATCATCTTGCCAGGATTCTGAGCATCCAGATCTGCAAGAATCGTGAGGTTCTCCTTAATAATTGCAACGGTGTTAACTTTGCGAGTTCCTGAAGTATATTCGCTGATAGCTGTCAATCGGCAAAGAAAGGTGCTACAAGGTAATCCAACTACAGACGACAGAGAACTGAGAACGGGGTGAATTAGCGGTTGTTCTAAATTCTGAAGAAATGCCTCAAAAGTATTTTTGGTATGTTCTTTTGTTCGTGTCTTTGCACTGCTAACAATATCCACAGGAATATCAACACCTTTAAATAGAGTGAATTCTGCAGTCATTGCTAATGGAAAAGCCAGAAATAACTCATCTTTATATTTTAAAGAAGAGGTTAGAAGAAGTTGTTGAAAAAAATCGATAATCACGTGTTTTTACATAAATCAAATAATACTTTACACAGCATTACTGCTACAATTTTTGCCATTTAAAATGAATTTAATTCTATGTTCAATTTAATTACCACTACACTTCACTAAAATATGAACTCAATGTAAATAAATTACCCTGTTTCGAGTTAATTTTAATTTACAAGTATGGAATACGATAAGACTGGTTTGAACTACCAATAATCATCTTTAATATATGACCTATAACTTTAATATTTTCGAAATATTTTATTGCATGTTCTTAATAATTTTCTTAATAGGTATTGTAAATTGATTAAAGAAGAAAAAACAACGTTTAGCGTACCCTGTTTATGACAAAAAATAGAATTAACGCCACCTTTCAGCCTTTTAAGCCCTATTACTGATGGATATGCATCTTTCGTAATTGTAAATGTGTTGAGACTACTCTTGACAAGGCATATGAATGCAATCTCCGAGAGTTAAATCACACAATTTCCATAAAATTTTTCTTCAGTAGAATTTAGCCCCTTAATTGTGACACTGAGAGAATATCTTATCACGGTATCGAAGGCAAAACAACTGGCTACTCTAATTGCGGGCAACGGTATTTTGAACTGAGCGTGTACAACCATAACTTGACATAGAAATCTAAAACAGGATATTCACTCTAATTTTAGTCACTTTACATGACCCTAATTTTCTTATAATTGTTAAATTTAAGACATATTTTAACATATATTATTAGTTTTGTATGTTCTATTTTCCGTTACTTTAAATTTGAATCGAGCTTTCAATAACGCTACTTGGTAAGATTAATTATTAAACAAAGATTATATTTACTTTTAAAGACCTTTTATTTATAAAGGTGTAAAATCAATCGTCCTAAGTCTTTATGCCAATCCTTGCATATTTATTAGGTAAAAAATAATGTTAAAAGAAATATATCATCAATTTTTTAATCAATATTTTCGTGCTTCACGTTCGAAAGAAAAAAAAGGATTGCTTGTTTATTCATTGTTATAATTTCCTTGGATGTACAGCGCAATTTTTCTAAATCGATTAGAAGGTTTGTCATCTTCAAACCTCTGAATGTCTTCCGAAAATCCAAAATTCTCTTCATGAATGAGTCCTCTGTTGCGTGGATCAAGCTGAGTTTCATTCTTTCTGATTTAGGTACCTTTGTACGCGTTTGACATAATATTTGCGTCAAATTCCTCTTGATATCCAAGCTTATTTCATGGTGAGAGTTTTAAGCTTTTTCTCTCGATTTAACCATTCACCTATTGGTGTCCTGAAATGAAATAACTCTATTATAGCAAATAAAACAGTTCAAAAATTGCACATATTTTGTGACACTATTCTGGTTTCCGTGACTCAAGGAATATACCACTTATTTAATAAATATGGTACTTTTAAAATTATTCGACTATAAATAGTGAAAATAATTTTGAAATTACAGGCGTTGTGTGAAAGACTGCCTTTCTCAAAGAGTACTAACACCAACCTTATTTTTGGAAATCCACTTCTAAAGTTATTCTAATACTTTTGAGGCTCTGTGCAGATTGCCAAATGACTAAAATAACTGTCTATTTGGCTATCCAAATAAGAAATATATGAATAGAATTCACAGAAAGCATGTTTTCTACTTGATATTTTATAAATTCTTATAACATCTAATTTAACACAAAGCTCAAAATTAAGAAATCACTAAGCACTACAATATACACGTAAACAGCCTTTGAAGATGATAACTTAAATCATTTCTACTTTTTTATTGTTCAAAATGGTCTAAAATCTCATTATGGTGTGTCCATTTATCAACATTTTTGGATGTTTGCAAACCCTTTTTCTCGAATTCAACTACTCAGACAGTTACACAGACCACTAACAATCTTTTGTACAATATCTCAAGGCCACAGGATTTGTGGTCTAGTTCCGAGCTATTTGGGAAAGTATTCACAAGTTATTCTATTCAATATTCATTATATAAAAGTTAAGCAAAAAATTGTGTCGAAAAATATATATTTTTACAGAAAAAATGGTACTCTATTCCTTAACCATTATCATTTTGAGAACTTTTGTCATAAATAACATTAATTTTGAGGATAGGTATAGATTTGTGGCCTTAATCAAGCACAATGTTGCATTCCCCATTTTCTACGCAGGATTTTAATTCTCGTGATGGGGTGCGGAATAGACTTATCTACGCGTGGTGCTCCCTGGACAGCGTATACTCATACGGGAAAAGTCTATAAAAAGACAGTTGACTTCTAACCTCAAACTACCATGACCCAACTGTGTGCCATATTCCACCACCTCCACAGTGCTCACCTTACCCTTTTCTCTACCTTCGGCTCTGACTCTTTTACATCTGTGAATCACTCTTCTGACCCCCCCCCC